GGTGTACAGTTTATCAATTCAGCTTTTTCTAGTGGTTATCCTGCTGAGTGCTTGATTTCTGTAGACAGCATTGCACTAAGTTCAGCTCTTAATCTTCCATTATTATAGCTAGGTTTCACATTCATCACATTAGTAACATTTATGCTCTTTTCTTAACTCACTATCAAAGTGATGTATCCATTGATCCGTGTGGCTCACACACAATGTATGAAACCTGATTTTCAATAGATTGTAATATCGTCCTGTATGTATGTGAAATAGTCAAGGACTATATGGGATGGTGCCAGTTCCTTCTTGTCACTGTTGGGGTAACCTGACTCGTGTTCTCTTTTGTGCTTTGTTTCAACAATAACCCAACCCTCTAATAAACTGACTTCACTATGTTGAGAACGTGTCACTATGAACCCTTCTTGAAGTTTGGGTCTGAATCTTTAATGACAAATTATTACAAGAGTTACCATTGTGAAGAAAATTACTTTGAGGCAAATAATAATAATAAAATAATAATAATAATGCTTACATTATCGTGGAGTCCTGTAGCTCAGTGGTTAGAGCGCTCGTCTCGCAAGTGAGAGACCAGGGCGAAATGTTGGACAAGTTTTCTTACTCCACACGCCTCTGCTTACCTAGCAGTAAGTAAGAACCCGGTTGTTAGTCCATTGGAGGATTGCTTTTCCAGGGATAATAATCCTTAAAAAAAAACAATAATAACTTAGTCACTCAATCCACGACTGTTTGTGGGACATTGCTGTGTTCAATTGGCTGTCGCGTTTCGCCCACAAATATACAGTCAATTCACTTTACAGTATATTCTGTGAAGCGCTTTGAGATGTCTAGACGACGTGAAAAGCACTATATCAAATGCAAGGATTATTATTATTACATTTGATAAAGAGCCTTTCACATCAGGAGGATAACTCAAACCGCTTATCAAGATATGCTGTTAAAATGTAATGAGTGTATTTGGTAGGTGAACACGGTAACTAATATGTGCACAGCAATATCCCATAAACAGCCATAAATCACACCACAACTTCCAAACGCAAATAAAACAAACCTAAATGCATCATGAAAAATGTTCATTATATTGCAACTGAGGGCAAGAGGGAAGGAAAAAGGAGATGCTTTCCAGGTATCCAGGTGTCTTCAGGAGACAAGAAGACGAGAGAAAAGAGGAGGAAAGAAATTGATGGAGAATAAAATAAGTCACCTGATAGATGGGTATATATTTATGCTTTATCACATTGCCAAATCGGCTTTAGTTTTAAAATCCCAATTTCAGCACAAATTATTTTGCTGCCGACATCGCTACTGTGCGCAAATCCAGTGGGAATATAATATTTGATTCATACTGATAATACCTGGATGCCCAAATCCATGGGGATTTAAAATCGTTCTCATTATTGCAAAGAAATATCCTGGGTGTTTATGATTGCATGTCTTGTCCTGACATGTACAGCATGTTTTGTCCACATATATTTAGAGCAAAAAATATTTTGCTTCATGTTTCACTCTTTTAACAATCGTCTTTTGTTTAGTTGAAACGTTTAGATCTCAATTCAAGCTTTCCTCAGGATTCAAAGCCCCTTAGCAAAACAAAGAACACTGGAAAATGCAAGGAGTTCCTTTCTTTTCTGCAAGTTAATAAGAATTTAAATTCAAGAATAATCAGCATCGTAAATAACATTTGACATGAATACACCTCAAAGGTTAGAGGAGATCAAACGGGTATGAAGCAGTGACATACTTAAATTGTGTTTTGTTCTTTTGGCATCAGCATTGCTTAATGCAAAGTCTACATTGTTCAAAGGTCAATAATAATCCTTACATTTGGTATCACGCCTTTTACGTCAGGAGGATGCCTCACAAAGCTCTAACTGTCAAGTTTAAGAACAGTGTGTTTTGTAGCTGAAAATCTAAATATATGATGGTCAGTAGCAGACCTAAAAGAGAAATTAGGAGGAACTTCTTTGCACAGAGGGTGATGGGAATGTGGAGCTTACTGTCGTGAGCTGTGGTTAAAGCAAGAAGCATCAAATTATTTATGAGGAAGCTTGATGCATGAGAGAGAAGGGATTGAAGGTGGTATGGGAAAGAGGATTTGGAGAGGTGGGGCTCATGAGAAGTATAAACACTGGCACAAGCAACAACAACAACTTGCATTTATATAGCACCCTGCACGCGGGTTAACATCTCAAGAGCGCTTAACAGTAGTGGAGCCTGACACCTTGGTATTGGAATAGTCAAGTTGAGATGTGATGAACAGATTCGGTAAATCTTAGGGAAAGTCGGGGGAGGTTGAGGAGGTCAGAACCGCAGGAGAGAAGATGTTGATGGAAGCCAATGAGCATGGCTTCCATCTTGTCGACATTCAGCTACAGGACGTTTGCCCTCATCTGACTTACAAGCTGACAGAACATCAGCGGACCTGGTTGAGGAGAAGTAGATTTGAGTGTCATCCGCATACATGTGGATATTTACCCCATGTCTGCGGATGACCTCGCTGAGAGGAACATGAAAATGAGGAAAAAAAGGGGCCCAAGGAAGGAGCCTTGGGGAACACTGCAGGTGACTGTGTGAAGGTGGAAGGAAAAACAGATTAGTTCTTTACATACTGTAATACTCTGTAAGATTCTATGAAACTTTTAGTTCTGGTTCATTTTAAAATGTGCACAATCCTTTTTCTATATACAGATTCTCTTTCTCGCTAATCCTTGCTTCCTGTTTGTTCTTCCCATCTATCGCAGATGCTGCAATGCATGTTGGCCTCCCTTCATTCAGAGATAGATATGCAAATATTCTTGATGAAAATCGAATCCACTCAGCGTGTTAGTACTGTATTTCTCGACTTGTCTGTTTTTGCTGCATTGTGCACTCGTTTGCTTCGATTAACAAGTATCAAATAGCAATTTAAATGGGTGCACCTTGTGGATAGAGCATTTGCTTGAGCAGGGCTGTAACTTCATAGTTGTAGTTTTGCATGGTGGCTCCACAAGTTACTTTTTTGCTGCTGCTAATATGTTATCTACAGGACCAGTTTATAAAGTGGAATAAGGACTGCATGGACTGACAGTGCGATCATACAGTTTCCAATACCCTGTGTCACAAAGTGAAAGGATTTGGGCTTGTGCTACAATTCCCCACATGCTGAGTCCAAAATTTCTGCCGTGCTGTCAGGAGTACAGGTCAAGGCTCTTCCCCACAGGGGGAATAGGAGAATTGGAGAATTTGTCATCTCACAATGGGCAATTGACGGAGGAATGTGGGAAAGCCACCCATCATGCGCTGTCACAGAATTTCACAATATACAAAAAGGGTCATTTAGCCTGTCACGTCCGTGCTGCTGTTTTTCTCCAAATAAACCACCTATTACAATCCTACTCTCTTGCTCATTCCCTGCATCCACTAATCGTCTTTTGGTGTGTGAAGAATGGGTGCGTGGCACTAAAAGAGAATGGAAGCAATCAGAAAAAGGGTTATCTTTCATGAAGGTAATCTCTATAGATAATGTGCTTGCATGCAGATTTCCTTTTCTGCTTTAAATCGAAGACGTGTACTTTTTTTAATATAAAATCTCAATGCAACTTTTTTCCTAACAAATTGAACGAATTAACCTAGGTGTTGTGACTTGCTGCCAAACATGAAGTGTTTGTCTTGAGAGTATCAAGAGTATCTTCTGTTGAAATTTTTTTTGAGAAGCTCCACACTATGAGCATTTGAAAGAGAAATGGCCATCATTGTTTGACCTGAGTGAAACTGAACAACTGGCAGTGTTACAGACAGTCAGTCTTAAGTCTTTCAGGCAACCTTCAATACAAAGGAAATGTATTGCTATAATTGAACGGGTTTCTGTTTCAGCCACAACGTGTCTTTTCTAGCCAGTTATAGCTGTAGACAATCACTCCCTAGGCTCAAAATATGGCAGCAGAGATACCTCCACTCGTAAGAAATACTCTGAGAAGAGTTCAGGGCACCTCAATCACCGTTGCGTCTACTTTTGCTCAGTTGGGTTTGTACACGCTACACTGAGCCAAGTCATAGCACTCCCATTTTCACAACAAGGTTCAAATCCAACCAGAGCTAGAAGTAACCTTCTCCCCTACTCCTCCACTCAACTCAACTAACTCAAGACGGTACCCTATGTGAAGCGTGCTATCTTTAAGCAAGTTGTTGGTGGTCTCTGTAAAACGAATTATGTTAGGATATTAAAAAGGTAGATAAAAATGATTGTGCCATTGACTCTTTTTTATATTTACACTTTTCTATTCAAGAAAGACATTTTGTGTTCCTCAACCCTACTTGCCCACGGCTCCCTTGTCTGTGAACACTGACCTGCTTCATGTTCCCTGTGCTATCTACGCCACCATCAGTGGACGAGCTTTCAACCATTCTGTCCCTGTTCTCTGGCACTCCATCCTGGAGTTCCACTCACTTGACCCTCCTGCTGCCCCCCCACCACTTTTAAAGCTTGTTGTAATGACTCTTTGAACCACACGTTTGGTCATTCTCCCACCCCGACCCCCCCAGCCCCCTCCACATCCCTTCGACTAGCTCAGGTGCCTGGCCAGTTGTATGCCTCCACCCCCCCACCCCCCTCCCCAGCTGTGAAGGGTGGTGTAAATTATACTGTATTTTGTACGATGTTTAGCACCTTTAGGTGGGGTAGTCTTTCTGGAGTAAGGTTACTTTTCTTCTGATAGTATTTATTTCCACACAATTCTGTTGACTAATCTGTGCAATATACTTCTGGTTAACAAGTAACATTCATGCATATGTAGGCCTACACGGTTAAGAATGATTTGAATGAGTGTATGACAATAGATAAATTAACCCCTAATGCAGTACCTACTAAACACATGCATGGTGTTTGAGGTGATGCACAACTCGTTTTCAGACTTGTCTTTGGTTTTAATGAATGTTTATTCGAGGTCTGATATATAATGTAACGTATCATTGTTCAAAAAGAAAACGAGTTGCTAACATGGAGTCTTTTCTTACAGAGCAGGAGCCCAAAGCACTTAAGAAGTCCCCAGGCTGCTCTCACGGACCAGTCTGAACACCTTTCAGTGGCGTCAGCAGATTCCTTCGAAGCAATGGCCGATTCGGAGATACCAAACAATTTCAATCGAGGGACTCGCTTCCGGACAAGCCTCCCGGTTGTTCGCTCAACCAACCAGACAAAAGACAGATCACTGGGTAAGGTTTACTTGGCATTTTCATGGGATTAGACTTCCATTTACCAGAATGTAATTATTGGCCAGGGAATCAGAAGAAACTCCCTTCTCCTTCTGAATAGTGACGTGGGACCTTTAACATCCACCTGAACAGGCAGGTGGGACCTCGGTTTAATTTCTCATCTCATCTGCCATTATATTTTCTTATCCTGTGGTTATTCCAACCAGAATGGTCGCTGCATTCATTCAGTAGTGTATTTCTGTTCCACTAAACGGGTTTACCTTTAAGAACCGGCCTTTGACAAAACGGACACTTGCATAACACAATGGCAGTGTGGATTTGATTGATGCTGTCACATGTTTGTGTCGTGCCCACTAAAGCTCAGTTACTGACACGTGGCTGACCTCTGAGCTGTGCAGTTTCTGAGCAGGCGTGACTTAGTTTGAAAAAAGATTGATCCAAATTCCTCCCTTGTGCACTTTGACATAGCTGTCACTGACCATCTCGTGCAAAACTGGTACACTTTACTCGAGTGTATGTGCACATTACTTCTGTGTATTTACCCTGTACTTCAACGTGTGCTCATTTTACTTCAGTGTATATCACAAGTATTGATATTTCCCTCCATTTTTAAGTTGCTATATCTTCTATCTCTTCTTGTAGCATACATCATCCATTATTCCTGAGTCAGACTACAGTACTATTTTGAGGTGTCCTTCTGATGTATAAGACGCTATATCACATGTAAGGATCATTATTATTATTTTATTAAATGTCATTTACAAAAGGTGAATGACATGTCCCCTTCTCATGCCTTGCTGGCCAGTGTTGGTATTAAGCACTCCCATGTGAGGTGTAGCTTGGTTATTGTGCTCCAATAATGCCAATTGGCCACAACATCAGAAGAACATGCTCACTAAACCGCAGAATGTTCCTACGTCCCACACCTGTCATCCTGGTGAGCCCCTGAATGAGATTGCCGGTTGAAGCTCAATGGTGAGCAGTTGGTGCTATTGGATCATGCCTTTTAGTTGGACCTCCCATGTTTCTCAAATAGGATCTGTCCATCTAGCACAGAGAAGAGATCTTCATGCCATCAGTCTAAGATAGATTTGAAGAAGGTCCTTGAGATTAAAAGCCATTAACATTCAGGATATATCTGTGTTGATGTACAAGTATTTCCTGTTTCTTGGTTGTTCCCAAATTACCTGCCAGTGAACTCTGTGATTAAATAATAATAATAATGGTGATAGCGCCCTATCAGGTCTTCAATTGATTGCCTGTTGGGAGGTGCATGAGAATGGATGTGTTTCCTTGTTCTCTTGGTAAAAAAAAAGGCCCGAACACTCTGTGTCTCTTTGCAGTGTCACAGCTAAACTGAAACCTTGGAATGTGGAGGATCGTAAAAACAGGAGGAGGCCATTCAGTCCTTTGCATCTGTCCCACCAGTTTATTAAAACATGGCAGATGCTTTAAACTGATTTCCCTGCCTTTTCTCCATACTCCTTAATACTCCATTGTATAATATTAATGGTTTGTCTGCCAAAAATACAGTTACTACACTTTACAGTCTAACCTGTAAAACATTTTTCGATGACCTCCCAACGTGAAAGGCACGAGACCGAATGCAAGGATTATTTATTCTTTTAATATTTTAAACAGAGAATTTGAGCTTGCCACCTCTGCTGTCAGTATACATGGCAGCTCCTTTGAAACAAACAAGACTAGTTAAAGTGAGTTTATTTTCAAGATTCAACCACAGCTTGGGCTGTGGTAGAATTGACTAACAACTGGGATCCCACTTACTGCTAGGTGAAAAGAGGCATGTCCAACAAGGAAACTTGCCCAATGTTTTGCTCTATCAGGGAATTGAACCCAGGTCCTCGCTCTTGCAAAGTGGGTGCTCTAACCAGTAAGCTGCAGAACTCATTGGCAGACCAGTCACTTGGGGCTGGGAATCATCCTACTCAGCTCTCATTAACACTGTCCTAACTGGACATGCAGTAGGGAAGCTTGCCAGATAGTGCTTTCAATGGCTATGCGGTTTTAGCTGATTTAGCTTACTCTGGGGTCCCCAAGCCTTGCCTCTTGCCAACCTGCGCCTAATACTTTCTGGAATTAGGTAAGCAGGATGCGTCTCTCCAGGGAGAGAGTGTGCATTCCATTCAAACAAATATTTCTGGAATTTCCATATGTAGGTGAGATGCATGGAACTCTTAGTTTAGTAACAACACAGTGATAGGTTTCTGCATATGTCAGATACCCAGCTGACCAAAGAAACCTCATAGAAAACTAATGGAACCTAAACATGTGAGGGCTGAAATTGCACCCTGTCTTAGCCTGTAAGACCATTTTGTATCAAACATTAATGTGCTGAATTATGGAAAATTCTTACAGTTCAGTTTTAACTTGCTCGTCGCTTCTTAGAACTATGGAAAACCGACTTCACAAATTTAGGCTGAATTTAGGAATTTTCTATCGTGTTCTGCAGCATCTTAAGTTCTAAATCAATGGTTTTATAGACTGTGGTTGGAAGGAATTCCAACCCTCTGGTCTGTAAAAGAAATATTTTTGTCTATTTGCAAAAACTTATTACCTTTGATCTGTGGAGATTGTCTTGGATTTAAGAATTGGCTTTTTGTAGTTAAATGTTTTAAACCTATCTGTTAGAGAATAGTGGCTTTAAAATGTCAAGTGAGTGTGTCAAGAGACTGGTGAAATGGATCCACAGTTTAGTCTGGGGAGTTGTGCATCAAACAGTGATATCAAAGGAAAAGCAGAACAAATGACCATGACCTTGATTTCCTGTCTTTCTTTACACCACTTCAAAGAAAATGTAAGTGAAGGAAAGAAAAAAGGTAATGGGTGCTTTTGCATTGTGCTGAAGTAGAGTAAGTAAGGCTGTACAGATGACCCTGAACCTGTGCCATGCCTATTTTAATTGCTCCCAGGCAGCATTCTGATGTCTGTCGATTTATAGGCTCCAGGTGTTTGGTTTACCAGATTTGAAACTGTTTAGGATCCACAAAAGGAAATTGAAATTCCGACTGCTAGTTTGAAATTTTTTTTACGACTGCACCAATGCATCAATAGGGGTTTCCTTTAATCAAACTTTCTTCGCCTTGACTTGTCAGAGTTAACCGGTGTAGTCGCAGCACAAGACTATATAAACTTGATTTCTTCACCTGTCATCTTCCATGTAACAGTGTTATGATTAGCTTGTCAACAGCAGAGATCAGGAAGGACACCTGTCCCTTTCATGCATCGGCCCCTCAAATCATGTCACCATCCATTGTAAACGGCCTGTTTGTTTGTGTCCCCCGAGTCCTCCGCTCCACCCTCGGCGGCCGTGCCTTCAGCCACTACGCCAGGAGGCTCTGGAACTCCCTTCCTCACTCCCTTCACCTCACCCCCTCACTTCCTATTTTCAGGTCTTGGCTGAAGACCTTTCTTTTCGACCGTGCCGTGGTCACCTTCCTCCCCCGCCCCCTGGCTCAGCCCCAGGATCCGTTACTGTGAAGCGCTCTGAGACGCCGTTCGGTGTGGAGGGCGCTATATAAATCCAAGTTGTTGTTGTGTACATTTTGTATATGGCATCTGGAGCTTTTGACATTAAGAAAGAGAATGGAAGATCTTTTGAAGTATTAAAGATCCTAAAGGGGACTAATATATAATAATAATTCTTGCTTTTGATATAGCGCCCCATCCCATCATTGAGACATCTCAAAGCGCTTGACGGGATATACTGTAAAGTGGATTGACTGTGTATTTTGTGGGTATAGATAAAATGAACTCTTAACAATGCATTGATAGCATGGTCACAAAATCTAGACCAAGACACATGGACTTGAACACGGTGGATGGAAGATTTAATTACTTTACACAGAATGGTTTCACCATATTGAGTCGATCACCCAGGGAGAGGGAGGAGTCAGATTGCATCAGCAAAAATGTCAAGAGGGAATTAGATAGCTATTGATGGAGAATTTGACTGAGGTGTTTGTGAGATAGAATTAAGAGACATCTCAGAATTTCTTCAGCCTTGAAGCAAACCTTATAAATATATATGAAAGCCTTGATGGGATGGAGAATGTAAACCCAGAACAATACTTGCCAATCCAGCAGGTTAAGAGGGCAAAGGTTAAACAAAACTTACATGTTGCGAGGATGCCTCTAAGTGTTTTACAGGATGAACTATACAGTATAGTGACTGTATTTTGTAGGTGAATGTGGCAGCGAATTTGCACAAAGCAATGTCGCAAGTAAACTTTGTCCATGGGATTGTTGGTTATGAAACCAGAAGAAATGCCCTCCTCTTTTGAAGTAGTGTCAATGGATCTTAAATATCCACTTGAACAGGCAGGTGGGGCTTTGGTTTAACAGCTTATCTTAAGGACGGCACCTTAACAATGAAACACACCCCTAGGACTACATAGATGTGTGTGCCTGGAAAATGTGGTTTCAAATGCCCAACGTAGGGCTTGAACCTTCAAGATCTTTGATTCAGTTGTGAGAGTGCTATCAACTGAGCCAGGCTGACATCCGGTTCAGGGTTGTGAAGGACACATTTAATAGAGCACTGGAATTACTGTATTTCTTCACAGAGAGGGTAATTAATAGCTGGGACTGGTTACCAGAAAGGGTTGGTACAGCCAGGACACTGGACTCATTTGAGAAAGAGCTTTGTGCTGTATTGGGATGATAATGGGTGGGTGTTCTATAAGGATGAGATCAGATGGTCTAAAAGGACTTCTTCATCCAAATCTCTCTTGGAATATCTTGAGGTATATAATCAGTTATTTTTGCAAATATTTTTTACATTACGACAATGATCCTTTCTGGTCTCAACGTCCATCTTAGTATTTTCCTGACATTGTATCAGTTCAATCTCTGCTGCTCCCACAAGATAACAAGAACCATTTGTTTACAAACCTAACTAGCCTGTTTCTGTCCAACCCTATCTGACTTCAGAGATAATGATTTTCAGAGACATAATTTTATTTAATACTCTTAGTGATAATGAAACCGGAATGAAACCTTCATATCCTATTTATAACAAGTCCTTAAATGGCCTTATCTGTCACTGTATCCGACAGTGTTGAATTGTGTGTACAGCAAATAAAAAGAATAATCCCGAGAATTTAACCGCAACTCAGATAAGACAAAGCAAACCTGGGAATTATTTTGCTAGTTAGATGCTTTTTAACTGTTACAAAATAGATTATTTTAATCTAGTTAATGACAATTCAATGTCCCAATTGAATTGAAAAATAATAATAATCCATGCATTTTATTTAGCGCCTTATCACATTGTTGAAATGTCTCAAAGTGCTTCATAGGATTTACTCAAACATAGCAGCTAACTTGCGCACACAGCCATGAAGTGAATGAACAATTTATTTGAGGATTGCTGACCAGGACACTGGGACAAACTTCTTTCTTTTATCGAGTTAGAGTGCCGTGGGATATTTGACGTCCACCTAAACGGGCAGACTGGGCCTCGAATTAATGTCTCATCCGAAAAACAGCACCTCCAACAATGCAGCAAACCTCCAGCATTGTATTGGAGTATCAACCTAGACTGTGAGTTCAAAATCCCAACATGGGACTTCAACCCACAATTTTATGACTGAAGTCTGGTTTATTTAAAATTGGTGGCAATCATATTCAGACACAGTATTGGTTGCTATGGCTCACTAAGGCTTGCATTTCATATTGTGATTTCATACAAAGCCAGTTTGACTTGTAGTGAGGGAAGGATTTGCATTATCTTCTTGAGAATGTTGCAACGATGTCTGTATTTCCAGTGAGGGTTGGGTGTATCACACAGTGAGGAAAGAAAGATTCCATTCATTTTTTCAGGGTTTTGTATAAGAGGTGAGCATTAGTATATTCAAGGAGATATACTTCACTAGTCTCACTGTCTTTGCCAATGTAATGAATATGACACTTTTTTAAACAGCATTGTCTGTGGTCCAACTTGTGTGATTGTGACTCTTGTGTGGCTGCTGGAATGGACAAAACTGGGTACTTTTCTTCTGATTTCTTTTCATTTGTCTCAGTTGGTTGCATTTTTGACTGTGTGACGGGACTTGATCTCATAGGCTTGGCTGACACTTCACTGCGTACCTGGGGAGTGTTAGTATTGTTCGTGGTTCCGTCCTTCAGACGAGCTGTTAAATCGAGATCCCATCTCCCTGTTCAAGTGAATTTAAAGATCCTGTGACAAAAAGAGGGGAGTTTCCATCTGTGTCCTTACTAACAATCTTCTAGATTAATTTCTCATAGCTGTGAAGACTTTGCTATGCGCAAAATAAAATTGCTACACTTGTCTGGTCACGGCACGTAATAAGAATTATTCTGACGAACTTTGAGAAGAACTTTAGAGAAGGGAGTTTTTCCTGGAGTCCTGACCAACCATCTCCCCTACAAATGAACTTGTCATTTGTTTCATGTCTGTTTGTGGGAAATTGCTGTGTCAAAGTGCTCTAAGATGCCGCCCGGCGAGGAGGGCGCTATATAAATCCAAGTTGTTGTTGTCTCCTTCACCACTCCTGATCCCAACCCCAGCTCTGGTCCAAATCCCTGACTGTCCACCTCCTTGGGACTTACTCCCGACGTGAAAGAACTATACAGATGTAATTTTTTGTTATCGTGTGCAATTGGCCTGCCGTGTTCGCCTACAAATACATGGTCAGTCCACTTCGCAGTAATGGTGTGAGAGTTTTATGATGTGAAAGGTGCCATAACAAATACAAATATTATTAGTTTTCAACATTATAGGTGCTATAATAAAAGTGCAAGTTCTTTCACCCCCCTCTCTGAAGAAGCCCCAGCCTGGGCTCAATGAGTGATCCATTCCATGACTAAGATCATAAACTTACAGTGAATTAAGGGTGCATCCAAATCCTATTGCTCTGTGGTACTGTTCACACTGGAGTATTGCCAGATGACTTCTTTAAACTGCCTGGAATGCAATAAGGCAGGCAGCCTGTGACCACCTACAGCTCTGTGCTTTTGTTTTATTCCTCTGTTGATCCTGTGGCTGCCTGCTATTGCCCAGAACTACATGAGAATAAGAAAAGACAGCATTATGGATGTTGCATAATTACTCCTATGGAGCTGTCCTTCACTTAATTCTATGGTGAGATCATAAGGAATGTTCGCAGGTCATACTGTAGTACACTGTACTGTGTTGTAGCCTGGTTCTGTCAAACATAAATAAATAGGAAAGCTTTTGGCACAATAAAAGCCATGATAGTCACTCATTTTGACTGTTTCAATATTTTTGTTTGAATAACTTCAAGTAAAATAATATTTCATCTACAAAATATACAGTCACTAACTTTACAGTAAAATCCTCTGAAGCACTTTGAGATGTCCTGCCAAATTGGAAGGTGCTGTATCGAATTACAATATCCTTCAGAAAACTTTTCAGCTTACGAATCCATAGTTTGAAGGTAAAAGTATAAGAAAACATGTGGACAATAAAGTTCATTGGTTGCAGTTAGAAAATGTAGATGCTTGGTAAGAAAATCTTAACCTTGTCAAAATGAGAAGGTTATATACATATGTGAGTGTGTGTGTGTGTGTGTGTGGCACTGATTTTAACTTTTAAGATTATTGGGACCATTTACTTCTGCTCAACTTTGATTAAGACTCCGAGATATTATCCTATGTGAAAGTCACTACATAAATGCAAGTTGATTTTGTTGAATATTCACTGATTTATTTTCCTTTATATCTGTAGGTGTTCTATATCTGCAATATGGAGATGAAATCAAAAAGATTGCGATGCCAAATGAAATCACAACTATGGACACAGTTCATGCACTCTTTGTAGGTGCCTTCCATCAGCAACTCACTATGAAAGTATTGGAATCTCAAAATGTTGCTGTATACATTAAGGATGAGGCCAGGAATGTGTACTATGAACTCTCTGATTTAAGGTAAGCAAACCATGCAGTCTTTCTTTGTCTGCAAAGGAGTACTACCCTCATGCAGGATGACTTAAGTCCTGTGGAGTCCTGTAGCTCAGTGGTTAGAGCACTCGCTTTGCAAGCGAGAGACCTGGGTTTGATTCCCGGCAGGGTGAAACTTTGGGCAAGTTTCCTTACTCCACGTGCCTGATAATAATCCCTCAAAAAAAAACAATAATAAATTGGTCATTTCAATCCACGACTATTTGTGGGACACTGCTGTGCGCAATGGGCTGACGCATTTCACCCACAGATATACAGTCAATTCATTTTACTGTGAAGCGCTTTGAGACATCTAGAAAACGTGAAAAGCACTATATCAAATGCAAGGATTATTATTATCATTATTAAAATATTTTCATGACTCTTTGGGCGAGAGAAAAAAGTCCCTTGGAAGTGACTTTAAAATATCACTGTTGAAATCTAATTGTGATTGTGCAAAATCCACCTAAAAGTGGGAAGGAAATTGCAACAGAATAGGCAGACCGGAGAAAGAAAAGGTGTGTCTGGGACCCAGATACTATGGTAATGGTTACAAAAGGATGCTAGGAGGAAGGTGAGCTGTTATGGTCTGAAATTGTTGAAACCAATATTAGGCCAGAGGGCTATAAGGTCCCTAGCAGATAGATGAGGTGCTGTTCATCGAGCTTGCACTATGGCTCATTGGAACAGCGTAGAAGACCATGGATGGAGAGGTCAGAGTGCAAGTGGGAGGGTGCATTGCATAAATTGGCTGCCATGTTTGCCTACAAATACATAGTCAATAAACGTCACAGTAAAGTCCTGTGAAGCACTTTGAGATGTCTCGAAGACATGATCAGGTGCTATATATCAAATGCAAGGATTATTATTATTATCATATGACATTGGGACCTGCAAGAGAAAGGAAGAAGCTGTGATTCACTCTTATGGTGTCTTATGTGTCTGATACAGATTCAACTCCCTTGAGTTACAAAACTTATACTAATTATATTGAATGGAAGAAGTTGTTACTGAATGCAAATGAGTAACACCACACAGAGCACTACAAGTGGAGTGTGTTGCAGTAAAAGCAACAAAACACTTTCACTTCATGTTGAACATTTTAGTATTTTTGGTCAGCTGGGTGTCTTAACACATGCGGAAACCCATCACCATGCTTAAGAGAATCTAAACCAAACTGAAAGTTCCATGCATCCCACCTATATGTCCTGACATATTTGTTGGAATGGAACGCACTGGAGGGATGTATCCTGCTTACCTAATTCCAGCAAGAGCCAAGGCTTGGGGATCCAGAGTGGAGTCCTGTAGCTCAGTGGTTAGAGCACTCGCTTTGCAAGCGAGAGACCTGAGTTCAATTCCAGGTAGGGCGAAACCTTGGGCAAGTTTCCTTACTCCACACAGCCTAATAATAATCCCGCCAAAACCAAAAACAATAATAAATTGGTCATTTTCAATCTACGACTGTTTGTGGGACATTGCTGTGCGCAATTGGCTGCCGCGTTCGCCCACTGCTTGTCCATGTAGGACCATCCTATTGGTGAGGGCTTTGGTTTTCAGGGTCAACATGAGCTGAATGGGATGACTCCCTGCCTCCAGTGACTGGTCTGCTCTTCCAGGTCCTGCATATGAGCCAGGCTGCCTGTGCTGTATCAGTGGTCCTTGGAATACTACAGACCTGCCTGGCTCAGGAACTGGACTCCCGAGACCGCCACAGAAGGCTAGCTCGATTCTGACATTCCAATGCCAGGCATGTCACCTTAGAGCCAATTCAGCTCCAAGGAGTCCCCACTTATCTCCTCCCTCCCCACAATGAGGATAGTCACTAGCTGGTCATTTGACATCTAACAAGCGTGGGTTTGAGCCCTCACTAGGTGGATGGCATTCCACCTAGGAATTCCCTTCATGAGAAATACATGAGAGCATTACCACCATCTTTCTGTCCGGAGCTCAGATACATAACCCTTCCCATTGAGCGATGGTTCCATCAGTTGGTGGTGCAGAGCTTAAGCACAGTTGCTTAACTCTCACAAACCAATCAAGATGGATTGCAGGTACTGGATGTGTGAACGTGTGTTCAGGAACTTGGACTCCAGGTAACACCTACCGGCAACTGTCGCCCCAAGTTTCCTTATTAGCTATCTGGTGGACATTACCTTTCGTGTGGTGTGAGGACCTTCACAGGACAGCTGGTGATGTGCTAGCCACCTTGATGTTCTCGAGTTCCAAGTCAATGCCGTCTACCAGATTCACTCAGCACGAGCTGCTTAATCCAGGTCCTCATGTGAGGGGCTTTGGCAAATAGACATGCCCGCAGTCTCCGCTTCAAAGGTGCTTAGCAACAGGTCAGTGTAGGCCTCCCTTGCTGCAGCTGCTTCTCGTGTTTGCCATAAATCCACCTTACTGCTTGATCCTGGACTTTGCAAAGGAAAGCCTCTCCACTGCACCCCCAGGAGCTCGGAACCATAAAGGCAGAAATCAGATGACTGATGTTTGCTCAAGGGCCCTGGGCAGTCTATTGCTGGTCATATGGAGTATGTGTCACTAAGACAATAATGTAAATGATTCACTCCGACCTCTCTTCACTGTCTAACCATTTGGGTGAATGGGGTTAGGTCTGAAGCATTGTACATAGGGGTTTTTTTTGCCATTGAATCCACGTGCACCATTGTGAACTCAGGAGAAAAGTCCCATATCAACAAACAGATGTCAGAAACTCTAGATTCAGCCCAGAGTACGCACTATGTACTTTTAGCCTTCTTCTATTCATCAGATTGAACCGTTTGTTTTAAGTGCAAACTGTTTCAAACATCACTTCCAGATGGCCTTGGAATCTCTGCCCAACCACCAGGAATTCCAGCTGAAATGTTGCATCGTTCCTTGCAGAGCAAGCTGGTCAAAGCGGGTATGCACCTGGTTTCTTTTCTCCAGTCGCAGACCATTCGTCTTGGTGTTCCAATATGTTCGCAATAGGCTACAAATGTTTCTCTGGCTGCAGGAAAACATTCTGCAAGTATTTACTTCCTATGTGCTCTTTAACCGAAATGTTTATAAAATAAGCAGAGAGCGATCGAAATATGTGTGTGTTTTTTTCCATTGTTTGTTTGCAAACAAAAACTGAATGTAAAATAGCAGGATTTTGCAGTCGGTGCCTTGCTGGAGGAGAGACTCTTGTTTATGTGCAGGTGTGTTTCAAATTGACTCACACCCACTCCAACCATTTAGCAATCATCTTGATGGCGGCTTCCAGAGAGTGAAGCACCTTCCTGAGGTGGTGCTGCCCTCTGTTGCTGCTCACAGGCCACTTCCAGACAACCCAAAGCGGAGAGGGGTCTAAACAGGTCCACGGAGACATTTTAAAAGGCCGCCTGAAATATTTTTTATGTCTTGAACCATCTTGCATACAAAAACTACCTATTGGAAAATATTACTCCAAGGAATTTGTCATGGGGGTGGGGGGGAGTGTTAGAATATAATTTACTGTGTGGATATAAATGTGTGTAAAACCCTTTCACTGATCTTTTGCGAACATTCGCAAATGTTATTGACATAGTGTAGAAATTGTGCTATTTCTGCCTTTGCCATTTACGAGAACCATAAATAAATTGCACTTGATGCCTTTACTTATTGCAACAAGCCATTTGCCAAAGTTTGCTATTCCAGTCTTGCAATTCTGGAGCAATGAAAATGTTTTGGGAGATTCCAGAAACATCTGTGGAATAAACAAAAGGCATACAGGCTTCCAACAGGAAGCTCCATTTAATTCCAACTTAAATTATAACTTCAGAAAGTAAATTGTTTCCAATGAAATTTGACTTGCTGGAATTCTTTTCTTGCATCAAACAATTATTTGGTTTTCGTTCCCTGGAGGTCAAAATGAATATTTGAGCATCATTCAACAATCACAGCTTACATTTATAAAGTGCCTTTCACTTTGGCTAAGGTCTCGATTCTCTTTATAGGGAAGGTGTTAAAGTGGAGCAAGGTAGGGGCTGGGGAGGGGGTGGGATAGAGGAGGTAGGAGAAAGGTGAACAAAGGCACGGTTGATAAGTTTTGTAAAAAGGAATATGGGATGAGATTTAGGGATGTTGGGATAGACTTCAGGGAGCGAGGCATTGTGGCTGACAGCTATCCCATCGATGGAGTGGAAAGGCAAGGGATGTGTAACAAGCCTGAGTTTGCAGAGCGAAGAAAATGGATAGGAGAATAGAGCAGCAGGAGATTGCAGAAGTTAGGGTCGATGAGGACGTGGAGGAGTTTGGAAATGGGAATGAGAATAGAACAATTAGAACTATTCAATATTCAGCAGAGCCCCATTAGAAAGCTACTGTAGTTACGACAATGACCCATAAAATCCAGAACCACATTATAATGGGGAGCAATCATGGGTCGGTGCTTCCACATCGTGACGTCATCAATTACGAAAGATTTATTAGCCCTGAGGGACTCCAATACACTGCAACCGTAATGCTAAGGATAGCTGACAGAATATTTACTACTTGTATCAGCTCCATTAGAGAAAATATCAATAATGTGGCACATCACATTCAAAGATCTTTTAATCCATATACAAAGTCAAATGTTTTCAGGCTGCTTTTTGCAATAGACTACAGAGCAGGGAAAGATTGAACGGCCTCCCAACATGCGTACAGTTAAAGTTAAATGGCACCGTTCACCCCTCATAATCAGCAGTTATGAATACATCCTCTGTGGTCTTTAACAATGTATCAACAAGTATAATTAGCCATTTTTTGGTTCTGGCGAATAGGAATTTTACGCCAGTATTTAACGAGATTCAATATCGGGAGTGGTTGAAAATTATACATTTTTGCTGACTCTAAGTAATTTACACCTTAGTCTGCAACTCAGCAAAGTTATTAAAATTAGTGAATGGCAGAATATCTCACCTTGGAAATATAGGGTAAAACAAGTCCGGAGTTAACACTGAATTATGGTTTCAGTTTGGAACATTTGAGTAATAGTGTAGAGT